ACTGCTGCTACTACTGGTGCTACTACTACTATTACTACTACTACTGTTATTACTGCTACTGCTACTATTATCACTACTACTACTGCCACTACTACTACTACTACTACTACTACTACTACTTCTATTACTACTGCTACTGCTACTGCTACTACTACTACTACTACTACTACTGTTACTACCACCACCACTACCTACTACTACTACTACTACTACTACTACTACTACTACTACTACTACTACTACTACTACTTCACCAGCTCAGTATATTTAACTCTTTTTTGTTCAACTGTCACATTTTCCTCACAGCTCTGTGTATCAGCTGGTAATAATACTCTGCGTAATTGCACATGTTTTGCTTTTTATCTGTGTCTGATTTCAGATTGAGAACAGAACAAAGCTTTTGGTAATAATTTATAGCCGCGACCTCCCACACCCATAAAGTCCTTTTCTTTTCCTGCCAGTATAGAACTCAACCCTGTGATTTCTGCTCCGTACCCCAAATACAACGTGCCTAAAGACCCCCGCTGCTCCGGTGCTACAGACCTGAGCCGAAAATGGCCCCCCTGCCGCTCTAGCTGATTACAGTAGAAACAATGTTAGCTTGGTCCTGCAGCTATAGCTACCATTAGATCCTAGTCCTCTGTGATGTGCTTTTAAAGATATACTGCAACTTTTATTACTGCTGTGAGTGGAAACAGGGCTCTGCTTATTAGATCAGCGTGGAGGTTAATGATGACGACTTTGCTTTTATGTATTTACAAATGCGAGCCAGTGGATTTGATAGAAAAACGGGGCTGTGTGTTTCGTTTTATGGTTGTTAAAGAAATGCATTATACATACTTACTCTTGCTAATCATTTATGCCTTTTAAAAACCTGCATAAAACGGTAAAAAAAAGCCTCCCCATCCCCGGTTTATACTGCGCTACAAAGGCAGAACACCATAACATCATGTCAGAAATTAGTTCTTGTTATTTTGTTTGTATTTGAGAGCTCCTTTATCATTGTGAATAAATATTGTGAAAAATGTTGAGCTCAAAATTGACCATTGACTTATTTGGCAGTCCTTGTACTCTGCTCCAGAGTCCTGCAAGGGTCCATGCGGAGACCCGCACCCGCCCAGACCCATTAACATTCCACCCATTACCCACGCGAGATAAGCCACACACAAATTAAAAGCATTCTAACTAAAGCATCCATCACAAAAAGAATTGAAAGCCTTCAAGAATTACAATAATGAAATGAAATGAAACGGTTACGCTTTCTTCAGTATGAATATGAATTCACTTCACAGGCATTAGCAGAAGAAACATTGATCGAGATGCCGAACTATTGTGCCGCACACGCCACGAACTGAACCAGGACTAACCCAGGACTAAACCAGCACTGATTCCAGGACTAACCCAGGACTAACCTAGGACTGATTCCAGGACTGAACCAGGACTGAACTAGGACTAAAACAGGACTAAAACAGGGCTAAACCAGGACTAAACCAGGGCTAAACCAGGACTAAACCAGTACTGAACCAGGACTCACTGTTGGGACAAGGACTTAAACCAGGACAACTAAACCTGCATAGACTTCCTGGGTAAAGGACTAAACCAGGACTAGACGAAAGGACCGGTGGAGAGCTCCATGGAGCTAAGTCCTGTGCGCTTTGCGGACACCCTGCTCCTTGGGCCTGGGGTTCTCCCTCTCTTAAGTCCAAGAGTGGTCTGGGTTTAGACCTGGTTTAATCCTGGTTTGGTCCTGACCTGCCCGTGTGTAATTACTACTCACCCGCATACCTGTCCGTAAAATTCCATAACGTTAAAACTAGAGCCCGACCGATATGGATTTTGCTGTGGCCGATATGAAACCGATATAATGGGATAGCCGAATAACACCATATATTAGGATGTAAAATTCCTGTAAATTGAAAACTTAGGTTTGGCTATTTTAAATTGGGTTTATTTAGGCAACATTTATTGTTATTCTGCCTCTTTACGTCATATTTACAGACAGTAGGTTGACTAATGGCATTTTTGCATCACATTCTAGACACTAGGATGGGTATTCCAGTTCTTTTTAGAGAACCGGTCTTTTGGCTCGGCTCACTAAAAGCTGCTGGTCTTTTTGGCTCCCAAGTGGCTCTTCAGATTGTTTTGTTGCAAGCAGGACTGAATCAGGACTGAAACCAGGTCTAAACCAGGACTGAAAAAGGACTAAAACTGGGACTTATTTATTTTATGCTAAACTACAGTCAAATATGCCATTTTTTAAATTTTTATTTTTTTTTCCTAGTACACGCAAATTTCTCAAAGTTTCGTTTTGAGCCGCTGCCAGCTGTCAAACCAGACTCTGCACGCGGCGTGAAGAGAAAAAAGTGAGAGAAAGAGAAAACACGGCTCCCAATAAGGATCAGGCTCCCGTCGTTCCCTTCAAAGACTTCTAAGAGTCATTTCGTTCGCGAAACCGACCCATAACTAGTAAAGTAGCGCTATAGCCTTTAGCCGTAAATACGGCACGCCGCAGTATTAATTATATGCGCAATGTCATAATTCAGACTCTATTCACAGCTCATTTACATTCAGTGCAGGTCCAGTAGCAAATTACGGCCAATAATAGTCACTTTAGAACAGACCAATAAAACAGTTGTTTATGTGGGGAGCTACAGCAGCTAACCCTAACAAATGACAAAAACTATTCAGAGTCACATATTTCCAACACTCACCGCTTCAACAGGCTCCTCCTCAAATCACAGTCTGACTAATAAATGTCCTTTTAATCCAGTTCAAACCTTGTCCGTAAAAAAGAATATCCTCAGTGTTTGGATCTGTGTCTGCAGGTGTAAACAAACACACGTGAACTCTGTGGTGTGTTCAACAGTACGGACTGACTCCGTACTGCCGCATATCTGCTGCCCTGTGAAATATCATAACAACCCGCCCGCTTCAGCAACTATTTGCCCATATCCGATGGGTATCCGTGGATACCCGACCCGGTGCAGGACTCTGCTCTGCTTTTGTATCATGAGCCAAAAATAAGGAGTCGTGCAAAAGTAAAAGGCAAAAGGCAGTAGCTGTGTATGTTTTGTTTATGATTTAGATTTAAAATCCAATCTTAACACATTAAGTAAATTTATGTTTGTATTCAATTATACTTTACTACCTTTAAAAGTGAGTAAAGTATTTTGTATATTTATTCATACTGTACACACTATACTGCAAAGTAACTTGTCTGTCAAACTGTTTAACTGTGTAAGTGTCACCGCACGATCCTGATCAGCACTAAACAGAAAATCCAAAGTTCTTCTGTATCATTTCAAACAAACTCCATGATGATTAGACCTTGGTGAGGTTCTTATAATGGATGGAAGTCTGGAGAAAATCAAGCAAATAATGATCATGTCAGTTTCTGCGTTTTGCCTTTGCACCACTCCTTATTTTTGACACATGATACAAAGGCAGAGCACAGGAACTGACAAATAAAGGTCAAGGGTCCATTTTGAGCTCAATATTTTTCGCATACAAATATTTCTTCATTATAGCAGCTAGTTGTCAAATTTTGGGAGCCCTACCTATTATACTTTTGTCTGGACAAAACAAAAACTTTGAAGTCATTTTTCAGCTTCACACTGTGGAGAGTTGAGGTCTTTTGCCTTTGTAGGGCAGTTTAGTTTTGCTGGCATGTTTCCGTATTTCAATTGCCTTCAGCGATTGTTGTCCACTGTCCCAACAATGTTTGCTCCATCCCAGTCCATAATGTAGTTCTTTCTTTTACAGTGATTAGAAATTTGTTTGATTTGAGTTTCTTGTGGTCTGCTTATCAGGAACAATGACCAAAAAAAACAAACCCTATGGTAAAGAAGAAGTTATTACATATGATCAGGTGAGGCGACGGGCCGGACAAAGGCTTCTGTTGAATCTTAGGGACCCAAAATTGAAATCTCTGCCTATTAATTAATATTAGAGGGGGGCCCATGTGAGTCTTTTCGCCCCGGGTCCCCAAATTTCTGTTAACGGGCCTGCATACGACCAGTGTTGGGAAGGTTACTTTTAAAATGTATTCCCCTACAGATTACAGACCCCAGAATGTAGTTTGTAACGGAATCCATGAAATTACTTAAATTGAGTAACGTAATCTGAATACTTTGGATTACTTGATTTGCTGTGGAGAAGCAAAGACTCGGATATCTTCACATAAGACGTTTTGTCTGATAAAAGACAATAAAAAACCCAGACTTTACTTAACCAAATAAAAAATATTATTGATAGAAGAGGAGGAGACACGTCCGCCCAGCATGGTTTAGTCCTGTTAAATCCTGTTTGAGACATAGTTTAGACCTGCTTTTAGACCTGGTTTTAGTCTTGGTTTAGTCCTGGTTTAGATCTGGTTTAGACCTGGTTTAGACCTGGTTTTAGTCCTGGTTTAGTTCTGGTTTAGTCCTAGTTTAGACCTAATTTAGACCTGGTTTTAGACCTGGTTTAAACCTGGTTTAAACCTGGTTTAGTGTCCAGCAATGAGTGGAATTACTGAAAGAAAAAAGCAAAACAAAAAAAAACAAAAGTGAAAACAGGAAAATACCTCTGTGTAATCCATTTATTTCAACAAAGTAACTGTAATCCAATTACCACTCACTGAAACAGTAACTGTAACTGAATACAATTGCTCATAATTTGTACTCTGATTACGTAACTCTGGTACATGTAATCTGTTACTCCCCAACACTGCATACGACATAAATGGCGCATGTACTGTATCTCATTTTCACCAGTGCAGACAAAACACTGGGATCATAACTCTTCCAAGCTGCCTTACTGCCTCTTTGTTCCCATAATAAGCCCCATTCTCAAATAATCAGGATTTTATTATCGCTCATGTCCCTGGTTTGTCTTTTCACAAATATTCCAGAAGTTTTTGTTTTGGTAGATTAATTCGGTCTGTTTTAAAGATTTGGCAAAGACCGGTAAGACTTTGACATTGTCCATGAAATCTACAAAACACGTCTCTTGTTTTTTAGGGAATCTTCTGAGCCCGGCTGCTGAAAGAAGATCGTCGTCAAAACAGGAACACTACAGGACCACGGTTCCCCTTCAGCTGGTGGGGGATGAATGGAGGCCAGTGCATGAACTCAAATACAAGGTAAAAAAAACAAAAAAAAAAATGTAATTATAAAAATGAGGGATGTTACAATAACAAATAATATCGTGGAGCATCATAATATATCAAATTATAAGTCTCTTTACTTAAATTAAGAGTTATGGTGCAGAAATATCTAAAAAAACAGAGGGAACTACATTTACCATGATCCTTTGCTCCATTTCAGTGCAGACTACAAGAAGAAATAACAGTTCTAAGCACTTTTACGTCTTACTTCTTTGGATTAAGTCCTGTCATGGCATTTTAAGACAAAAAAGTAGAAAAAAAGTTGTTTTTTTTAATGCTTCCACAAAATATCATAATAAATATCGTACTGTGAGATGTATATCGTGAAAATATCGAAAGATTTGGATATAGTTACATTCCCAATAATAATTTTGTATTTGTGAATAAAATGTGTCAGTAAGTTTCATTACAAACGATGCGATGCCCAACTGAACCAGGACTGAACCAGGACTGAACCAGGACTGAACCAGGACTGAACCAGGACTGACCCAGGACTCAATCAGGACTGAATCAGGACTGAACCAGGACTGAACCAGGACTGAACCAGGACTGAACCAGGACTGAACCAGGACTGAATCAGGACTGAATCAGGACTGAACAGGACCAGGACTGAACAGGACTGAATCAGGACTGAACTGACTGACCAGGACTGAATCAGGACTGAATCAGGACTGAACCAGGACTGAACCAGGACTCAGAACCAGGACTGAACCAGGACTGAATCAGGACTGAATCAGGACTGAACCAGGACTGAACCAGGACTGAACCAGGACTGAACCAGGACTGAATCAGGACTGAATCAGGACTGAACCAGGATTAAACCAGGACTGAAACAGGACTGAACCAGGACTCAATCAGGACTGAACCAGGACTAAACCAGGACTGAATCAGGACTGAACCAGGACTGAACCAGGATTAAACCAGGATTAAACCAGGACTGAACCAGGACTGAATCAGGACTGAATCAGGACTGAACCAGGACTGAAACCAGGACCAGGACTGAACAGGACAACCAGGACTGAACCAGGATTAAACCAGGACTGAACCAGGACTGAATCAGGACTGAACCAGGACTGAACCAGGACTGAATCAGGACTGAACCAGGACTGAACCAGGACTGAACCAGGACTGAATCAGGACTGAACCAGGACTGAACCAGGACTGAACCAGGACTGAATCAGGACTGAACCAGGACTGAACCAGGATTAAACCAGGACTGAACCAGGACTGAACCAGGACTGAACCAGGACTGAATCAGGACTGAATCAGGACTGAATCAGGACTGAACCAGGACTGAACCAGGACTGAACCAGGACTGAACCAGGACCAAACCAGGACTAAACTGGTCTCAGTGCTGGTCTCGGTCCTGGTCTCAGTCCCGGTCTCAGTTCTGGTCTCAGTTCTGGTCTCAGTCCCAGTCTCTGGTCTCAGTTCTGTCTCAGTTCTGGTCTCAGTTCTGGTCTCAGTCCCGGTCTCAGTTCTGGTCTCAGTTCTGGTCTCAGTTCTGGTATGGTCTCAGTCTGGTCCTGGTCTCAATCCCCGTCTCAGTCCCGGTTTCCGTCCTGGTCTGGTTCTTGTCTCGTTGTCCGGTTTTTTCACTTTTAGAGACAAATAATGAAGGAAATAGTTGTTTTTTTCGTTTTCTTATTTTTGGTTTTATTTTGAAAAATGAATGAAATGAACGATACACGGACTGGGTCACCTCTCCATAGATCTGACCTGTAACTTGGTCTGGTTTGGTCTCCATGAAGATAGAAATGTTTAATACCATATTGTGAAACATTTGACGGACCCTCCACCCAAATAATTACACAATGCACCTTTAAATATTACGTTATTGTTGACTTCGGTAAATATTACAGTTGCCTCCATAATTGTACAAATAAAAGAGAGTATTTTATTTGAGCTTTTGCGTCGCTTTGTTGAAGTTCATCCTGAGCGTGGCTTTATGCACCAAGTTCGGATCGAAATGAAACAAAAAATAAATGCATTTTTGTCGTGAGATGCAAATCGTCAGCTGTGTTTGTGATTGAGCACGTCTCAAAATAGCCCCATTAATATTCTGATGCAGCGTTCAAAGCAAAACAACTCAACAAAGCGGGATATTTTTGAACGAGGAAACTGGCAACATAAAGAATGCAAAAGATGATGGACAGGTTGAAGAGCTGAAGAGGGTTCTTTTGTTCGCGACGACGATGGATACGATTTAAGATCATTTTTATGTTGTGACACCGCGTTTAATGAATATTTTAAAGGTGTAATATGTAACTTTTCGGGCGGAGGGGGCTGCGTGTCTTGAAGCTGTTACTGCTGTGCCTGGAATGTTCCAAAATACGGCATTAAACTCATATCTTGGATGCGTTTTAGTGAGGAAATAAAAGAAAGAAATCCTTGAAAAACATACACGGTTTTGTCTCCACAGATTCGATCTCACTTGGCTTGGTTCAACTCCAAATCCAAATTATTTATATAGCACATTTTACAAACAAAGCGGTTTCCAAAGTGCTGCACAGAGATCATAAAACGAAGGCAACAAAAAGGTAAATTGCTAAAATTTGGTCTTACCGGTCCTGAAACAATAAACCAGTAAAATCAAATAAAAGCAAGACCGTAAAAATCAAATGTCTCCTAATTGTCTCCTTGGAGGTAAATGTGTGTACGGTCGTGTTTTGGAACATTCTAGGCAAAGAAATAAAATCTCCTTGGAGCAGGTGGTGGATAACCGGGCAGAGCAAGGTGAGTTCATGAACTCACGAGAATCCATCTTGGTGTGCGTCCACTGCGCAGTTAAACGAGCGGGTGACCAACTACGTAGCAGAACTGAAGCAAAAGGTGGACGAACGCAAACACGGCAACACTGACAGATGTACTTCCGCCTATTTTAGCGTCAATATGGACTACCGTATTTTTCGGGCTATGTGTCGCAGTTTTTTTCACGGTTTGGGTGTTTCCAGCGACTTATATATTAAAATGTTCACACTGGAGCCTCAAGACAGCGCTCTAGTCTTGTGTGTCAGTATCTGCTGCTCCTGTTCCTCCTGTACCACTGTCACTTCACTCTACTGCGCATGTCTCCTGCAGAAAGAGCCTCTGTCCCGCTGCCAGTGGTGAAACGTGCAGCTGAAAATGGTAATTAAGCAGCAGAAAGAAAGTTTGGTGTGAGCGAGAAACTTGTGAGGGAACGGAGAACACGGCTTCATGGCAACTGGGAGGATGCACCATGTAACAATGCAACAATCCTGGAAGTCACCGGATGGACGGACAAAGCCTGAACTTCAGTGACACCGAAAATATCCTGTCGGGATTCAGAAAGGCCGGAATAATTCTAACTGGAACTGATGCTGAGTCTGACGACAGCGACGCAGAAGAGGAAGCGGCGCTCTGTTTACCTCCGGAGGTCGTGGAGTTGTTCAGAAGTGACACCGAGGATGAAGAATTGAATGGATTTAGTGATTTGGAGTGAGATGGAGAGTTTGTTAAACTTGTTCTGTTCTGTTGTTTATGTTATATTTATCTGAAGAACTGTTCATATGTGACGTTAACAGTCTGTTGTTCTTTGTTCTGTTGTTTTTACTAGAACTTGACTTTCAAGATCAAACATCGGTTCCTGGTCTCTGATTTTATAAAATAAGTTTCCCCCAAAAAGTGCGGCTTATATATGTTTTTTTCTTCATTACTCATTTTTTAGCTGGTGCGGTTTATACTCCAGAGCCATTATAGTCTGAAAAATATGATATTTACTTTGTGAAAAACTTGCAGAAGGTGAGAGCTTTGTGCATTTGTGGACAGGGAAGATGTCTGTGCTTTTCTCTCAACTGGATTGAACTAATGTTTGATTTTTCCTCTTGTTCCGCTGTTGTGATGCTCTTTCAGCGAGAGCCATTCCAGATTGATAATGTGTAGAAACAATTAAACCCTAAATGTTTTACAATTTACATAAATTTTATTTTGCTGTGGGGGCTCCCGGAACAATTTCACAGTAATTTTATCCATATTAGAGTTTTTTAAGACACAGTTAGGATGATTTAAACTTGTTCAAAGGTGCGTCTGGCCTGAGATATGAGATTAGTTACAATCTAATTTCACTTGTCACATTTAATATATATAAACGTGCTAAGCCTTGATTAAATTCAAATAAAACAGTAATTTAAACATATTCTGAAATGCATGTGATTCTTGAGTTATTTTAGCAGCTGGCATTGTCATTTCTTCCATATCTTTGAGGTCTAAAACTGTGAATATCTGGTACAAAGGATATGCAAAAAGTGTTAAAAAATACACATAAAACTCAACTTGACACTGTTAATTTGAAATATTAATGAAATGTTTGAACGCTCACTCACTTTAAATGATATGATTAGTTCTAGTCAGGCTTATCGAACACAGTTTTTGAAGTTTTTTTTTTTTTTTTTTGGTCATTATTGATTCAACTCATGAGAGATTATATTCGCGCTGCTTTTTCCACACTAGTTATTTCCTGCGATGTGATTAGCCCAACGCCAAACAAAACAACATGAAGTCAGACTCTCTGTAGGAAGAATTTTAATAGCTCAGAAGTGATTTCAAAACAGCGTGCATCCATTTTCTCAAAGTTGTAAATACGTGATCAAACGTGAACAGAATTCCCAGAGTTTTGGAGGTAAAAAGCCGGAGGTTATTTCTATTTAATTTGTTTAAAAATCGCGACAAATCTGAATTGTTTTGCCAAGATTTTTTCTAATTTCAGTTTCAGCCAATGTGTTTAGTGTGAAGTCAACAAGGGGTTAGTTAATTTAATTTAATTTAGTAAGTCAAATTTTGTAATATCTCATTAAAGGTTGTATAGAGGATTTTTTTAAGGGAAGAGAAATACAGAGACAGTCCTTGTGCGCATTCAGAATTACTGTTGAAGTTTCCTGTCTAGAAGTAATTCAGCGACCGACGCGTCAGTTTTTAGACCCTTCGTCTGCTTCGGTCGCGCCATCGCTGGACGAGAT